CGCGGGAGCCGAGGCGCAGGCTGAGGAGCGCCGCCAGCGGCATTACCAGGCTCGGCAGCATTCTAGGCGCGCCGCATCCTCCGCGGCAGAAGCTGAAGCAAGGCTGCGCGCCTTCAGCCTTGCTCTGCCGTGCTGCGACTGAAAACTCCGGCCGTCTGCCCCGGCCGTCTGCCCCACCCGCGGCCCGCGAGGCTGACGTAAGCGAGGCGGGGCCTCGAGACGTCCCGCCCCCGAGGCCTCTGTGTCTGGGGAACTGTGCAGGGCCGTGTACCCACGGCTGAGCACCGACAACCTGGGCTGGTGGGGAGGATGCAGGGACAGGGCGGATGCGCGACTGTCCGGGGGCGGGTACACGGCTCCGGCCAAGGTTCCTCTCCCCAACCCTAGGCCCCTCAGTGCTATCGGGTGAAAGCGATCTGGGTAGCCGGGAGAGGGGGCGGTGTGTGTGTGTGTGTGTGTGTGTGTAAAATATAATAAGGCTAATAATAATATGATAATGGATTGAGAAAATGTGCGCGCGCGCGGGTTGTTGGGTGGAGCTCAAATGGCTAGGGGATAGCCTTGGCACCTTGGGTGCGGAAGATGGGGTGAGGTTGTCAGAGCAGATTTTACCAGACAAGTAGGGTGGGGGTTGGAGCTGTGGCCGTGTCCGCTCGGAGTTGAGGAAGGAGATTGTTTAAGGCGATCAAGGACGTGTGCGAGGACACGTGTGTGTCTTGGTGTCTGTTATCCTAGTACCTCGGCATAGGGCTCTGAGCTAAACCAACTGTAAAGGAGGCACTTTTCTACCTGACTTAATAGTTTTGGAGAGGTGCCCATGACGTCTCCCAGCGGCTTTTGGCTTCTTTCACGTGCCTGAAATCTTAGTTTAGATCTTTTTTTTCTTTCTTTCTTTTTTTCCTTCTGGGTAATAGCACTTCTGGAGAACTGGGTAACACGACATCAGTCACTCATACCTCTGTGTCACTTGATTCATCTGGGACTTGACTCCAGATGCACCAAAGGTATAAGGGAATAGGAGACTTTTGTTGGGTGGTGAAATGTGCTTCAGAGTAAGTGCGTGTATAGGGGAGGGGTGTGGGGAGGTTGTCCCATCCTGTATATGAGAGTCTACTTTGGAACTATAAGCCCTCACTTTTCGATGATGATCATGAGGGTCAGGGATGCCCTAAAATAGCGGAGAGTGTTATATGCCAGCTGGACAGCCAAGGCTACCCTAAATGGACAGTTTTTGTTGCCAGGCGGTCAGATCAGCTGGGAGGAAGAGCCCCACGGTTTTTAATGTGCGATAATGTTTTTTTGCACCCTCTATTGCCCAACTGAGAGATTAAGAGTGGCCAATGGCTCAGAAGTAACCAGGCATGACCCAAGGGGTGTGGCCCCTTCCTAAAATGACTTTTTAGTTCTCACTGACCTTTTGGAGGAGTACACTGTGCTGTTTCTTTCTGAACCTGTCTTTGCTTTTTTGTTGAGTTATAAGAGTTTAAAAGTCTCACCACATTATTGTTTGAAAAATGCTCAGGATTCTTAATTCATTCTCATGGCAAATATTATGGCACACTCATTATGAGCCGGACAATTTATTGAGGC